ATACCTTGCTTATTTAGAATAAGTTTCTGTCCATCTCTATGCCCCCAAATGTTAGTGTTATAAGCTCTAAAGAGCTAGAGGAAAACAGAGCTTAGACAGGAGGGGGGGTGGAAGTGTGCGTAGGTTACAATATTCATGCATGGAAGCCACATAGCACCAGGACCTGTGCCTGTCCTTAGAGCATCCCCTATCTATTCTTTACCTGTCATGCCTCAAGAGCCCCAGCTGGCCTGCACTGAATCTAATGACTGACTTAATTGTTGGCTGCAGGATAAGCCAATTCTTATTCTCACACACAGTCCTTAAAGGCCATTTCTTCTTTGTGTGTGTGCAGGGAAAAGTATGCATGTCTTGGATGGAAGTGTATTTGAAGTTTGAAGTTCACACTAGGAAATAAGCTGATGTGATCTGCTTGCTCTCTGCTTAGACAGGCTTTAAGAACAATTGGATTTGCATGGAGGCCAAGCCAGGGAGTGTGTAATAACCAACGACTTGTGGGCAGACGAGTATTTATCCAGGTTGCATTATCCAGATCGATTTGTTAAAGCTCCAGGTCACTTTATTACACTAAGAAAAACATTCGATAAACATGAGACAAGTCTGGGAAAAAAATGAATGAAAGAAGCCTGTCTTACACATACATACGTATAAATATGCATATATCCGCATATACAGAAGATGCTTTGTATAAGGTTTTATGAATGTCCTGTAGTGTCATGTGTTCATTTTTTTTTCCATATTTGGAGAAGACCAGAACATGTGAACATTCTGTAAGGAGGAAAATTCTGGCACACTGGACTATGATTTCATATGACTGTATCTTAAAGACGTGGTCTCCTAAATGCTACCAATGGTGGGCCAATCAAGAGGAACCAGGACAGAAGATTCAAAATGGCAGATGAAGACATGCTTTCCTGTTTTCTCAAAGTTTGAAATAGATGATAATCACCAACTCATACACAGAGAAATGAGAAAGAGAGAGAACATGGTCTTCACATCTTCAGTGCCTCAGTCCCACTAGCTTGGCCTGCTCCTAGACTTCATGCCTGAGCTTATCATCCTGGAAATTCCTGTTAAAAGTCTCTTGCTTAAAAATTTTCACTGAAATGTGCTTGTTTTTACTTTTTAAGTGGATGCTGGGAGATGTGCTGGCTGGCCTGAGAACTGGAGACTTGGGTCCAGGCCCAACTTTCACAGACTCACCCGCAGCCATGTTTTTGCCCATCTGAGCCTCAATTTACTCATTCATAAGACAGGACTAATATTTACCATTTCCTACTTTCTTTGCCATAACGCTGCTGGAATAATTAAAACAGTAAATGGAAAACATTTTAAGTCCCCTCAAGAGAAGGAAGACTAAGGAATTATGAATCCATGGGGAAAAAAAAAAAACAATTGGGGCATCTGGGTGACTCAGTCAGTTGAGCATCTGACTCTTGATTTCAGCTCAGGTCATAATCACAGGGTCAGGAGATCCAGCCCCGCAACCGTTAGGGTCTGCTCAGCACAGTCTGCTTGTCCCTCTCCCTCTGCTCTTCACCAGTCCCCTCTCTCCCCACTCAAGCTTTCTCTCTCTCAAATAAATAAATAAATAAATAAATAAATAAATAAATAAATAAATAAATAAAATCTTTTTAAAAAAGAAATATTGAGTGCCTACTCTCCTATCCAAAGGATGACTTAGCCACTTTTTGAAATTCCTGGAGCAACTCAGCGAGAAATCCACACATCCCCGATCCCCGCAGGCTGCAAGCTGCTGTGGAGACCCAGCCTCCCTTCCTTCATGACTTTGTATTTTCAGTGTCTCATTAACTAGAGCACAGGGGAATGTGGGGGGTACAAGGTGAGGACCAGAAAAGGTTCCTGCTGTTCACAAGAAAGGAACAAAGTCCTATTACGATTCTGATTTAAGGAATCGTCTTTTTTCTTTTTCCTTTTTTTTTTTTTTTTAAGGGAACCTGTCTGTGTCTTTGGGTAAAGGAAGGAGACAACGGGGACTCTTCAGTGTTTTATCTCTGAGCATTTTCCTGAAACCAAGAGTTGGATGCTCAACAAACTGAGCGACCCAGGCACCCCTCCAATAGCTTTTATAAGACAGAAGAGGAGAAGGCAGATAGAATGCCACCTCCTGTTATTTCACTTACTTGTTGGTGGTGAAAATGACATCACACCACAATTCCATGACACAAAATAAACAGCTGCACTGGGGGCTTTGTGAATGCCTGAGCTACATCGCTTCTGACATCTCTCCAAAGAAACCAAGATGCTGAAGTCCTGCCCAGAGCTTTCCCACCTAAAAGACTGATTGCATTTTGAACCCAGACCCAACTCTTCCGTTCTGCGGAAGGATGTTTTTAACCAGGCTTTCGTGTTAACGTCCTGCTCGTTGAGTGCTCTCAGTCGAGGACAGGCTGCCTCAGAGCCCCCCCAAGACAAAGCGGAGGTACAGAGGGTTGCAGGATCTGAAAGGCAATCTGAAGGGGAGGGGAGAGGAAGGAGAGATGGATGGAAAGAAGGTGGAGAGGGAGACAGGGAGGAGAGCCGGCAAAACTCACGCAGGACAGAGTCACGTTGCTACACTGTTTTACAGGGGAGCTTTAACCTTTCTGCGCCCCGGCTGCCTAACCTCAGTGCTTCTTTTCCTTTCTGTGTGGCCGCCCACTTCCCTTAAGCAAACAAGGCAAATTACTGAGCATGCTCAGCATGTCACATGCCTTCCTTCCCATTAACCTTAAAATTTGTTTTCAAATGGCAAAAGAGTGTAATTAACATGAAGTATGATAGGAATTCCTAAACTCAGTGCAATTTAAATGCAGAAAAAAATCACTAGTTCTATAAAAGAAGTGCATGTGAATGTGCAATTTTAACTGCATCATTATAGTGGATCCTCTGGACCAACATCCCAAGGTAAGGAAGGTACTTGCAATGTGGAGTGTCACTTTTCAAACAGGGAGGGGGAGGGGTGATACAGAAGCATCATACCTGGGCAAGTTCTGAATAGCATAGGAATCACCTCACATTAGAAAACGGTATTGCTTTCTGAGAACAAACACACTCCAACATCAATCTGTCCCTTCATTGGCTATCATAGGATAAGGGGTGTACATGGTAATTCCAGATCCAAAAATGTTTAAACCTCCTGTAATACCTTATTTAACAGTTAATTTATGATTTAGGTGTACTCTGTGCAGTGACAATATTAGTTTAAATGTAATAAAGGACCTTTCTGTGTGCTAAGCTGTAAAATAAATGTTTGCTTTGAAGTTGGAAACAGAGGTGGTATTTTTCTTCCCCCGACAAAGCACACAGAGAATTACCTGTGCTATTTATTAGGAATATGGTGTCCTATTTGTCCCTTATTTCCTAATTCCCAGAGCAAGTAAACCCACAATCCCGTCTTCACAGGAGGTCAGGGCCAACCTCCAACCTCTGTGGACTCTGGCCCTCACTGACATTTCTAAGCAAGATGCACCCACAACCCCAACCCCTTCCAACACTTCCACTATCCCCCCGGACTCTAGATCTTCCCATCACAGTTCCTGCCCCTGAATGAACATCAGGCCAACTGACACACATATTGAGACAACTGTGTGGGTGTTCTAGAACTTTTACTTATGCATGTGGTCAAAACAGATTCAAGGTTCTTCAGCAAACTGCTGTTAGAATATTGCTAAACCACCAGACACAGAGGCCCACCCCCACTATTCTGGAGAGAGCTTGTAACTCGCTGATCACACACTTTCAATGACACTGGTCAAAGAATAGTGAGGAAACTGGAAGTCATACAGATGATATGAATAGCAACCAGGAAGATACAGAACATTTTATTACTGGGTCAAACTGGATTAATATGTTGCTTTATTTAGGTTCTCGGTGAAACAGAAAACCACACAACCTTTAACTCATGGCTTGCATTAGAATGGGTCCCACTCTCCTCTGGGAGAGGCACCTGACCTCTCCCACCACAAATCTAATCTGCTTCCGATACAAAACCCGTGACACGAGGTGAAAAACACATAGCCCTTAATCAAAGCAACACCTAAATCAGGCTACGTGAGAAAACCTCAAGAACCAGACCTATGTTTACACCAAAACATGGTATGGCACAGGCCCTCGCAGAGAGCCCAGCACGTACAGAGCTGTAAATAAGTATCTGTCAAAATGAAAACTTATAAAGGCTTTCCATTACTAAGTATTTTTCTCACCAACCCTATATGGGGTGTGACCATAATAAAATAGGCTTGTTTTGGGAAGCTTTGTTACAAGAACATCCACACCCAACAAGAAGCCTCCTTCAAAGTGATCCTCAGAAGTAGAATCAGATCCAAACACCACCCTCCTTCAGCCCACTTGCAGATCTTCTTGAGAACATCCTTCTAAATCTGTTAGTGAATATGCTAATTGTATCTGTGATACAGAATTTCTTGCTTTATAATCATGCCTGTTTATTCAAAAAGCTAAGCCAGAATGACATGATGACATACATGCCTTATTCATTGGATTTTGCTTTGAATGACTTAATGCCATTATTTCAAATCTAATCTAACATACAAAGTGAAGGTTCCCTACCACTAATGTCATTCAAATGAACATCCTAAGCAATTCCAGAATTCCAGATGCAGTTTAGGTGAGATGACCTTGCTGGAGTAAGTGGAGAGCCTCCTACATGGACTACCCTGAGTGGGCATCAAACTCAGAAAATTCTTGGTGCCTGACAATCGACCCCAACAGTTTACTGTCATATTTCATACAAGACCCCAGAGATAATGCTTATGTAGTTTTCCATTCTAGCACCAGATCGCTATAGTATAAATTTGGCTGAGTGTCTTCATTTCTTGGAAACAAAGAGTCGGGAAAATCCATTTTCAGTTTTTCTGAAAAGAATTTAAGAAAACCTCTTTTATGAAACTTATGTGACCTTAGCATCTTATCTTAGAATACACAAATTGAATGAAATGTCATCACATTAAGTACTTTTTAACAAAGAGGTGAATACTTACGCCATGATACCTGAGAGGTGAAACATTTCGGCTGTTATATAGGACAAATAACTGTACAGGAAGACAAAGAGTGGCTCAATCACTCGGATGTTATGCGTGAACCGAGTAGTAAATGCCGCTATAAATCCCAGGAAGATGCCAATCAACACCCCACCAATTCCCACAACAAAGAAGTTTGCAATTCCAGCAAACACGTCAATGGTCTCAATGGTTTTCATCTGGCAAAAAGACTTGAACAAGTTGTACAGGACCTGTGGGAGAAAGAGAATGCGTGGTCAAGACCCCTTCCAACATCCCCGTTCTCACTGCGGCCACAGAAAAATCCACCTGGCCTCCTAACAAGGACATTTCTTCTGTGCCCCCAAGTTGATGACCAGTGGCAATAACCGTATTTAGATTGATACCATCTAAAAGATAATCTTAAAAGACTTGGTTGAGGGGCGCCTGGGTGGCTCAGTCGGTTAAGCATCTGCCTTCGGCTCAGGTCACAGTCTCGGGGTCCTGGGATCGAGCCCTGCATCGGGCTCCCTGCTCGGCGGGAAGCCTACTTCTCTCTCTCCCTCTGCCTGCCGCTCTGCCTACTTGTGCTCTCTCTCTCTCTCTGTGTCAAATAAATAAATCTTAAAAAAAAAAAAAAAAAAGACTTGGTTGCCATCCAACAGGCCCTGCTGTGTCACCGATGCTGGGGAAGGAATAGGTCACAGAGAAAGCTGGTCAGTGCTGCTGTGAAGTCAGTTACTTTGCAAGGCTCTCTGGTGGGGTCGTGCCATGGAAGGGGCCCCAGCCATCAGTACAGGTAGCCCGCCTGAAGACATCTTCCTCCCAGGGCACTGAGGTCCTACCTCCTCACCCCAGCCCCTCCCCCCACACACATCTGCTATAACATGAGACCCGAAGGAACTTGCTTTTTTTTTTTTTTTTTAAAGATTTTATTTATTTATATGACAGAGAGAGACAGCGAGAACAGGAACACAAGCAGGGGGAGTGGGAGAGGGAGAAGCAGGCTTCCCGCCAAGCGGGGAGCCCGATGCAGGGCTCGATCCCAGGACCCTGGGATCATGACCTGAGCCCAAGGCAGACGCTTAACAACTGAGCCACCCAGGCGCCCCCCGAAGGAACTTTCTTAAAGCAAAGACGCAGCCACCTGTGTTGTGTGAGTGTGTGTGTGTGTGTGTGTGTGTGTGTGTTGTATGTATATGTGCTGTAATTTCATACATATTTTGTCCCTCTTCTAAAGGAATGAGCCCACACGGCTCCTTGGCTTCTGAAACATCCACACAGTCTTTACATAGTCTTCGTTTAATTAAGCTTCAAAAATGCTCGGCACTTCACGTCTGCTGGGAATCTGCTTGCAAACGTGTTTCTAAGGACCCAACTGAGACAGGAAGTGACGGCTGGGTGCCCTACCACATTTTTCACAAAGCCAGCAAAGGAAACAGGAGTCCAGCGGGTGCCCTGCTTCTTCTCACTGGGTTATTTACAGCCAGAATGTCCAAGAAAGCTGGCTGTCAGGACACTGGGATGAAGGCCTGTTATGTTACAGGCCATGCTACACCCTTATTTGGTTTCTGAGAAATTCAAATTGAACCCCTTTGTCCATGGTCACACCAAATGTCAGACGCGATACGAGAACCCGGGTCTCCTGACCTTCTGGGTAAGTTTTTCAAGGTCCAGGCATGGGAGAATGAGTCAGGTTCTGACCCTGCTCCACTCTTCGCCTCCCTGAAGGTCCGTCAGAGCCCACCACATTTGCAGGTTTTGTGTCATTTTTCCCTCTTTTCTGCTGGATCATAAACTCGTCATGGTCAAGGTTCATTCCTTATTATGATTTGCTTTTTCCATGCTGCCTGGGAGAAGACAATAAAGGTCTGCTGGCTTTGAAAAAAGCAGCAGATTAGGACTTAGAAATGAATGAGCTTTTCTTTTCTCTTAATCGCAGGTATGACATTTGAGAGCATTTTGGTATTGTACCACCAGGAAATGACTTGAGTAAAAAGAAAGAAAAAAAAAAAAGCAACTCCTTCCCCTGAGGATTTAAATACGTTGAGAGTATCATCATTTGCCAGAAAAGAAACTGACTTCAAGTAGCTGCCGCTTCCCACTTCCAACCAGAGGCCTGCTGCATGTGGGATTCTGTCAGCCTCAACATGCTGTGGTCGCTTCCGGTGCCGGGATCAGAGATGTGCTATATATACCCCTTGTCTCCAAACAGCCAAGGCCGAAAGGGGACGGTCACCTGCTGCCAGTAGAGAGAGGCAGGCTTCCCCCCACCCCCCAGCTATCTCTGTACAGCCTCCCTCCTCCCCTAGGCCATTTGGTCACTGCAGTTCTGTCCCCCAACTCCCAGGCTTCTGTCCTCCCTGACTCCTGCCTGCACCAGCAAATCTCAGCTCACTCTTGCTCGAATGACCCCAGCTCACCCTTGCTCGAATGACAGGCCTCACTTCCTTTAAATACTGCTATTCCATTTGTCACTCTCAAGTTTAAAATCCTTGACTTTGGGAAGGCTCAATACACCTGGCTTTTGTTGTTGTTCTTGTTTTGTTTTGGGGGGGGGGGTTTGTTTTTGTTTGTTTGTTTTGTTTTTACTGCTTTCCAACACCCTTCAGTCTGGGAGAGGGTCTCATCACAGCTCCACAAAACATAATATCGTAATTCCCCACTGCTCCTGCTTTCCTTCTTGTGGTTTCTCTTGGCAGGAAACCAGTCCCTACACCCAGGGAAACTTTGTCCATCTTCCAGGGCCAGCTGAAGCCACTGCTCTTCTCAAGAGCCTTCTTGAACTCCTACAGCCCCCGCAAATCACCTTCACCTCTGCGCTCCCGCAACAAAGATGATCTCCCAGACCAGTCAGGCTTCGGGGACAGGCCATCTCCCTCGTGGACACCGCCTCCTGGGTGCCTACCCCATTGCCCCAGCAAAATTAGAGAGTGCTCATGCACAGGACCCAGAACTCCTCCTCCTCCTCCTCCTTCCTCGGCTCTCCCGTTCCCACCCCATTGAGCACTTTTATGAGGCCTCCAAAGGAGGCTCAGGCCCGTGTCCCTGAGGAACAACTGACACACAGTCATAGATTTTCCAGAGGCATTTTCCTGGCAACTCAATCCATCAAACCGATCAAAGAGACATGCTGGTTTCAATAGCTCTTTGGGTTTTGCAGAGAACAAAGCTGAGTCACAGGCCCTGTACTTTCAGCACACGGGGAAGAAGCTCCAGTTCAACCATCCTACTGCCTCGGAGGCCAAGTCAATGTTACAGGGCAATGTCTTAGGTAGAGACGTTGCCTTGACAACCAGAAGGCTTTCCACACCCTCCCACCTGCTTTACACTGAACCTGATACCCAGTGATCAGCACAAGATAAAATTCTTTTAGTTACCGCTGGCTATAACCCATAGTTAGTTCATTCCCGTTAAATGCTTTAATGGTATTGCAAGGGAATCTATGTCGGAAAGTGCTTCTGGAGTTATAATTTATATATGCATGTGCATGTGCATATGTACTATGTATGTTGGCTACAATTATGTCTCCAGTTGGTCTGTGTAAAGTTGACCTCAACTTGTCAACTGCATTTTTCAAAGACCAAAATACCAGCACTGCCTATATTTTGTAGTGGGCTAATTTGGCCATTGAGAGAAGGGGAAAGGAAAAGCACTTTCAAATCATTCTACTCATTATTGTGATTTTTAAAATACTTATACAAGCACCCAGCAAGCTCAGGTGGTAGAGTAGGAGACCCCTAAAATACTTATGTGTTATAAGAATTAGAAATTACCTATTTGGACCTTTGATTTAAAAGGTGCAAGAACTCAGTGAAATAATGTAACACAAAGATGCAAACAAAATAGAATTTTTTATCAGAATAGCTGTTCCAGAAAAAATTAGTTTTTGGGTCACTTTTTTTTTATATGAAATACAAGAAACAATCATTTTTGCCTAAGGAATTTAAAATATATTATGCAATTTGCAAGAGCAAAAAAGAGTACCAAGTGGTTACTGTTTACCTTCCAACTTCCTGAAGTTAAATTCCAGTGCACAGCACATAATGCCTGGACCATAAAGCCCAGCCCGAGCCTGGTTCCATAACCAAGCCCCATTATGACAGATTGAGGAAATTCTTTTAAGTGTTCTTGGAAAATGTATTAGATTATTCAATGGTTGCATTATTAACATGTTCTAGAAATGATGTTGGAAATTACCATACGAACATAAGCCATTTGATCCTGGACTACCGTGGAGTGGCAGGACTGATCTGATAACTGAGAACCTGAGCAATTTTTGCCTAATATTTACACTAAGGGAAAGCACAAAAATCCCATTTAAAAATCTGACCTTTGTTCCTTCAGCTGTCCTTTCTGCAGTTGATTCCAATCTACTGTAACCTTGGACACAGGCACAGTTGGACGGCGATTTATATATTATCAATTTCTCTTTGCACTGAGACATTTTTATGGTAGATTTTCTCCCCTTCACTCTGCTACCTCAATATTGAATCTCCCATGATTTGGGGACGGAAGTAATTGCATGGGCCTATAATTTTACTCATCCTCCAGACTACATTTTTAACACGAATCTTTTCTGTTTAATCTTCACCCTTCTAGTTGCAACTCCTAGTGACTCATCATTTTCACTGTAGGCAGCAGGGTCCATACTTTTCATGCCTTCCCTTACCCCATGAGTTCCTTAAACCTCTCCTAGAGATAAGACTAGACGTCAAAGAATCTTTCACAAAACATCTCAACCTCTGTACTCTGAGGGTACCTCACAAGGAGGCAAATGATCATTTTTTACAATGTTCTAATTCTTCCTAACACCAGATCCGTTCAGTCCACTATTCAGCCAATTCAAGGAATATAATACCTGGTGGTTTATTCTTCAGCTTTAGGTAGGTAAAAGCAGATAGCCTTGCTCTCTTATGGGTGTGGCTTTAAGGGTCCACAGGCTTTGAGCCCAGGGTATCTAAACTGAGGAAGGCTCATTCACTGGAAGCCGTTACTGTCATTCTGACTTACAAGCTTTGGCCTTGTAACAAGGGATTCCACATCTAAAGAGCAGCCATGTCCTTTCTCTGTCCTTGCCCTCCTTCCTGTATTGGAGTGGCGCCCTCAATCTGGCCCACTGCCCTCTTTGGATCAGGCCTCCCTCTCTGTCCATAAAATCATATTTGACAGCTTGGGGCCTCTTGACAGGAAGCACCGATATGCCCCTGGAAAGCCTGGGGCCTTCACACAGTTTGAATGGTGGTTTAGCCAGACTGTTTCCTCAGATCTGATTATTGACAAGCTCAAAGAATGGACACTGAGGTGTCTGACTGAGAAATTTAAGAGACGAGAGAGCAGTGTAAAGGCAGGGCAGAGCACTCTAAAACTGAGCTGGCTTTGCTAGACTGCCCTAGAAGGAGTGCAGCATGGGGTTATTATTTCTTTATAAAGTTTCTTATACATGAAGGGGATCCAAGAAATCCTCATGAAAATGTCCGTGATCTACCTCAACAAGGGTAACATGTATACAGCAAACATAAGTCACAATGAAAACCCTGAAGCCTCTGGAAATTAGAATAAATTATAAAATGTCTTCACTGCTATGGTACTTTCCCAGTGAAAATTTAATATTGGTTAAGTTAATGACTAATCACTGTTAATGCATAATGGAATAAATGAAGTGTATTTTGTTACCTGAGTGAGGAACCTTAGCTGCCTCAAAACAGCTACCTTAGCGGCTATTCTAAAACATGGGATTTCCTTATCAATAAATTACTTTCTACCTAATAACGTCCACATGGAGCTAAGGGACATCCTTCAAGATGATATTTTATTCCGTTCATAAGCTAATAAGGAGTGATGCTGGTTTCTATGCTGACTTTTAAGTGAATCCGGAATAATATTTTAATGAGAGGAACTAATGAAGGGGGTAATACAAATTAGTTAAGTTACTTAAAAACACTTAATTTTTCTCTGCCTCAACTTTCTTACCTACCAAATGGGAAAAATAATTACTACATAGGTTGCACAAAGACCCAAGCACAAGGTAGGCATTCACAAGAGGTTAATGGCTCCGTTGAACAACTCTCACCATCACCTCCGCGGAATGGTGGCTAACATAATAAAACAGCATCACTGAGGCTCGCTCACCGGTTTCCCCAAACAGGGTCACTGGAGTGTCTTTCACCGGGGGAAGAGCATTTTGTAGGCCCGTGGGTGGGGGAGACGCTTCCTCCTCACTGCTCTGTACTTTGCCTGAGCTCAGAAAGCGGGGCGGAGGTAAATTCCACGAACATGAAGATCACAACAGCCTCTGACTCTAATTATGTGTTAATTAGTGAGAGTCAAAAATAAATGAGCATTTTCTGAATAAATACCCACTTAAGGGAAAATCGTGGGGACCAGAAATAAGCTAGCTGAGTAGAACAGAAAATGAGAGTGTAATGAAAAACTGGCTTAAAATCAGGAAATAATTAATAAACCCTCCCCAGACACAGAATGGCACTTGGTGGGTGCTGTCACTTCGCTCCTGTTATACATGTTCACTCCTGACAGCATCACATCGCATGGAGAATTCCAAAGGACCTGAAGTCCTTTAATTCTGATCAAAGACCATCACTTTTGAAAATGCCAACTGAGAAAGCCTCAGAGATAGGAAAGGTCACAATCACTTTTATCCTCCTCTGGTACCAGCAGGACCTTGCAAGCAGGGACCAGCTACACAGTCTGTGCAACCTCGTGCAACACGAAAATGAGGGGCCCGTTGTATAATAATCAATAAAAAATAATCAATAAAAAAATTTCACAAAGCATTTCAAGACCGCAATGACAGAGCATTAAACCAAGTGAAGGGCCCGTCTGAGAGCAGGGCTGAGTGACTGTCCAGGTGCGCGTGGCGCCTGCAGGTTCTCCCCTCAGCTGTCACTGTCAGAAAGCTGATGCAGACTGAGGGTGGCCGGTGGTGTTGGAGTGACGCAGTGTGAACGAGTTACTCACCACTGTCACTGCATCATTCAGCAGGGACTCTCCAAAGACCAGGATGTAGAGCTGCTCGTTGACGTGAATGTTCTCGAAGACGGCGAGCACAGCCACTGGGTCCACAGCTGAGATCAAGCTGCCAAAGAGCAGATTCTGGAGCAGAGTGATGTCACTCAGGCCAAAGGCTTCAATTTGGCAGATACCATACAAAGACACCCCAATGCCAATGGAATTCCAAAGGGTCCCTACCACAGCATACCAGAAAATGGTGCCAAAGTTCTCAAAGAATGGGCGAGTAGGCATGAAATAGCCTGCGTCGAGCACGATGGGTGGGAGGAGATACAAGAAAAACACATCAGTCTTCATTGCGGGGGGGGACTTTTCATCGACCCCAAAAATAATCCCTCCTAGCAGCAGGCCAACCATTATAAGGAGGCAGCTCTCAGGCACTATTGTGGGCAACTTGTGATACAGATGGAAGCCTGTGAAGGAAAAACATAAAGACAAAGCATTTGGGGTGTGCAAGAATTAGGGCGAAGATAAACTGGTTCTCTTTGCTGGAACCGACAGATTCTATTTCAAAACCTCCCGGGTCAGCATAATTGGCTACAGAGAATGACGTAAAAGTCAGATGACCTTAAAACTATTCACGAAGCACGGGCAGGCACAAATGCAACTTTACATCAGAAGCTGAATGATACAGGTACATCATACTTAAAACAGCACAGCTGTTGTCTAGATTCTAATGAAGTTTTCTCAAATAAGACCATGCGATTTTATATTTGAGGCAGTTTTGTGATTTCCAACACATTTTCAAAGGTGACGTCTCATTTCATCCTCATAAAAACTTTAGGAGGAGGCAGGGAAGTTATTTTCACCTTTTTAAGTTCTTTGATTTAAGTGGAGACTGAGGCTCAAAGAGATACAGGGTGTTGTCGAGGTGGCAGGATCACACACCAGCTTTCAGGCTACCACTGTCCCCTCCAGGCTTGATAAGAGTTTGCAACTTATTTAATATTTTTAATTTCAGGGGCGCCTGTGTGGCTCAGTGGGTTAAGCTTCCGACTCTTGATTTCGGCTAGGGTCATGATCTCAGGGTCGTGAGATTGAGCCCCGCGTCGGGATCTGCAATCAGTGGGGAGTCTGCCTGAGATTCTCTCTCCCCCACCTCTGCTCCCCTCCCATTGCATGTGCTTGCTTTCTCTCTCTCTCTCTCTCTCAAATAAATAAGTCTTTAAAATTTTTTTTTTAAATTTCAGACTATTTCACTTGGAATGCTAAGTATGTTTAATTTTTCAGAGGTCTGCTCCTTCAGAAACAACCAAATCAATCCTTCAAAGGCACTTCAGGTAATTACTACTTAAGGGATATAAACCACCATGATCTCCAGTCTCAGAGTTTCTAATCAAGGCAAAGGAACTGATGTGTTTATGACCTACTCTAACATAGGACACCGTGTGATGAGGTCCCAGACAAGCTCTAGGGGAGTGGAAAGGGAGGAAATCAGGAAGGACATCATGGAGGAGGCAGCATCTGGCAGGGCTTCCTGAAAGGACAGACGTTAAATACACAGAGAAGGCATGAAGAGCCTCCTAGGAAGTGAAGCAATGGAGGAAAATACCCATCTCCTAATGCATGGTGGACCCCAGTGGGGCTTTAATGCAACGACAATGTTAGGGGGAGGCCGGCAGCAGGGGAAGAGGAGAGGACTGTGGGTCGTTCCAGCACATACGGTAACATGAGGAGCAACGTCACACAGGAAGGTCAGCTGACAGGGCTTAAGTGAGGACGGCCCTTATTTACAAGGCAACGGCGAGCCATCCTGCAGGAACCTCAGACATTTTAGAGTTAAAGCAGCATACGCAAGTTATCTGAATTACGGGAACACAGTATTAAAATGCCAGAATGAGTCTTAGAAACATAGCATCACAGCAAGTTTAAAAAGTCAACCCTTAAAGGTCTACACACTGTACTAAAGACACGGCATGGCATAGCTTGTGAAAAACAACAAAAAAGTAATCATAATAATTTGAAGCGATTTCGAGAATTTCTAGATAATAAAGTGAACACCTTTATACTGGGATTCAAGTCATCCCACCCTCACTGATCATGTTCTTACTCATATTATAGAGGGCTCCAATCATTGTTGGGGAATAAATGTATTCAGCTGGTTCAGCCGCTCTTTACCCATGACCTCTGCCCTGCTGACCTCTGCTGAACAGAGACATTGAAGAAAGTCCCCTGAGAACCCTGTCTTTGGAACCTCTTCTCCCACTGAGCCCTGCTTCGCCATGCAGCATTCCCTGGGTGATAAGGATGTGCCTGCCCATAACAGCCCCCTCGAGTCCAAGTGAAATCAGCTCCTTTCTGGAAGGCAGGGCATGAAGACCCAACGTGAAGGCGCCATGTGTGCCATGGGCCTTGCAGGCCACTATATGATGACTGCCCCCGACCTCGGATCCAGTACCGCCCACGCTGCTCACAACTGTGGAGAGGCTACCACCAGGCCCGGGCCCGGTTTGCTCACTTGCAAAATGGGGACACACGCACCCGCCACGTCAAGGGCTGTAACCATAAGGAGGTACCACTGTGCCTGTGACGTCACGAATGCCCCCCAGTTGTGGTTTCCTCCACCCTCTCCCACATGAAGACACAAGAGAAAACGGTTCTGAAGAAACGCACAGAAGCAAGGGACAGGCTCCTCTGCAGACAGACTGGAGAGTGAGCAAGGCCTCTCCCCGGCAGCTCCCACTTCTCTGCTGGCCTCTCATTTTCCTTTTCCTGCCATCCGGCCCCACGTACCCAGGGCTCTCGCGTGGGGTACCATCTCCTGTCATTGGGCTGCAAGGAGGTCCTTATTCCCAAGGACGGAGGGTGGGAAACACGGTCAAAGGGAGAAAGGCAGAAACAGACGCTGCGTCTGTGCATCTCACAGGATGACGCCTGCCACAGTCCAGCACGGTGACGGAACCTGACCAGGAATGGGGAGAGCAGAACAGCACCAAGCAGAGCCCAGAGAAAGGCAGCAACAGATATCCAGGATGGCCTGAGACAGAAGGGCCACTGGGACAGGAGGTGGGGGGACATCTGGCCCCTGATGGGATATTTCGCAACATATACACTAGTAGGAAACAGTAACATATAAATGAGCAGCAAATATCAGAAAAGAACAGCAACAAACCAACAACTGTTGTTTAAAAAGATCCTATGTTTACATTTTGAAAACACTCTTCTCCTTTCTTTTATGAATGCTTCAGTCACTCCAAATTGGCCCGAGTGACCTTTGCTTGAAACTGGATGGTAGTTAATGGATCTGCCCAGTTGTTCCAGGAGCAAGGAGGGATTCAATGAAGGGTAGTCACCCGAGATCTCAGTTCTGTGCTTTTTTGATGACCATAAAGTAGAGACACCGAATCTTCTAACATGCTCTCTGCGGGCATGGAAGGTTTGGTGTGTCAGTGTGTATGGTTTTACAAATGACAGGAGTCAAATGTAGTAGCAAAATAATTAATCAAAACAAAAGTCTTCTTAAATTTCATCGTTCACAGAATAAAACAAGTGAATCAACATTTGCAAATGTGCATTCACTTATGGCTGCCCCCCCCCCCAACTATTCCTTGGAGGGTAAATGAACTTGAATAGACAGAACTGGTTCTCCAGAGTCGTTATCTCATCAAAATGTTATGGAGAAATAGATCAGTTATCAGGAAAAACAAAATGAAGTTTTTGATGGTTTTTACAAGGGTGAACGTGAGCTACCGCAAGTACAATTAACTGCTCAGTCCAGGGGTCAGCTAACTTTTTTCTATCAAGGGCCAGATAGTAAATATTTCCAGTTCGCAGGCCATACTTTACTCTGCTGTCATAGCACAAAAGGAGCCAGAGATAATACCTAAGTGTACGAGGGGCTGTTTTTTTTTTTTTTTTAAGATTTTATTTATTTGACACAGAGAGAGAGAGAGAGAGAGAGCGCACAAGCAGGGGGAGGGGCAGAGGGAGAGAGAGAAGCAGGCTCCCCAAGGAGCCGGGAGCCCAATGTGGGGCTCCATCCCAGGACTCCGGGATCATGACCTGAGCCGAAGGCAGTTGCTTAACACTGAGCCACCCAGGCACCCGAGTGGCTGTGTTCTTATGAAACTTTATTTGTGGACATGGAAATGAGAATTTCCTACTAGTTTATTTGTCACAGAATATCATTCTTCTTTTGATTTTGTTTAACAGTTTAAAAATATAACTGCCATTCTTGACCCACAGGCCATACAAAACTGGGGGCAGGGAGGCATGCTTGACCCCTAGGCAGTGGTTTACTTCCCCCTGTTTTAGTTTGATCTTTGTATTTCCTGCTAAATTCTACTTAGTAGAATTTAGTACTTGTGTCACTCACTTTTTATTACTAGCACATAAACGTCTGCAAGGATGGATACTTTAAAGTTTATTTTATTTTTAATTGCTATAGAAATTCACTTAGTGAGAAGGGGAACAGGATTAGGGTCTCATACAAAACACACTGTTAAAACAACCCTCTCTTAGACTGAGTCTATTTTAATCTCTCTTTGCATAGAAGTGTTGAAACGAACTGAGCTTAAAAGCTAAAGATCTACATATAGCTGAGTACAAAGCTATTGATTCATTCTATTTTCTCATTATACTTAAAATAATCTGTTTGTCAAATGCTGGGAAGAGAAGACAGGAAGCTTCCAGATAGCAGGATCCACAAAAGAGCAACAATGTAAAAATCTGAATCACCAACTATAACAAAAAACCATCCAAAATAAGTTTCAAAAATTATATACAGTTAAGAGACACAGCAAGGAGGGAAAGGGGAAACCGGCAGAGGTGAGCAGGGACAAAGCCCTCCGGAGAGAAAGCACAACCTCCAGGTGCAGATGAACACAAGCTATTCAATTAATGTTCCGTACTTTATGAGAGCTTAAAGAAAAAATAAGGACACTTATCAGCCCCACCAATATTTTCCAAGTTTGTGTTGAGTAGGCAAAAGTACCCTGCGAAACAAAATCAGCAGAGACAGCCGGACTCAGAATTAGCTTCCCAGGCTTCTCCTTCTTGAAACAACTCTGGGAAATACTGGATTTAACATAAAGAATAGTCTGAAATGAGCCACGCTTATTTGGCTGGGGGAAAAAAGGTAAATATTTACAGAGTATATTAAATTTGCTTTTAAGTATTAAGAGAAATAAGCAAGTTCATTCAAAGGTAAAAATGCTGGGTGCATGTATCCCAATTCACATAGCAACCAAATACACACTTTAAAAAAAACAGAATTGCAATAAGCAACAGATAATGAGAAACAGGAAACAGTGAGAAACAACATTTTGATCTGATACATCAACAAGCTGCTATTATTGCATGATAATGCTAAGTAGACAAAGAGTGAGTGAAAAAAATTCAATCCTAAAAATAAGTAGAGGGGCACCTGGGTGGCTCAGTCAGTTAAGCATCTGCCTTCAGCTCAGGTCGTGAT